TGACTGGCAGATCGAATGATCAGATGTCAGGTCACGTGACGTGGCAGATCGAATGATCAGATGTCAGGTCACGTGACGTGGCAGATCGAATGATCAGAGTGCAGGGTCACGTGACGTGGCAGATCGAATGATCAGATGTCAGGTCACGTGACGTGGCGATCGAATGATCAGATGTCAGGTCACGTGACGTGAGCCGTGATCGGAGCGTCTGCAGACGCTGAGACCGGGGGTCCTGTCCCTCAGCGTCCGGGCAACGCCCGATTGCACCCGAAGATGGCGTTACTAACCAAGCCGGCGACCCGTCACCCGCCAGGCGACGTGCGATTTAGCCACGCCTCTTTTTGTTCTGACCAATCGCCATCGCCGACGTACGGTCTAGCCTAGCCACGCCTCTTTCCTTTGCTAGTCGAATCGCCGTTCGCTGACGTACGACCATAGCCACGGCCTCTTTCTTGTCCTGAACAGTCAGTAACCGCCGACGCACGACCTAGCCTAGCCACGCCTCCTGTCTGATCTTGATCAATCGCCGTAGCCTGACGTGCGACGTAATCACGCCTCTTTCTCATTCCTGGCCAATCACCAATTACCGAAGTGCGATCTAGCCACGCCTCTTTCTTATGCTGGTCAATCGCTAACGCCAGTTTTGTATTGGGCCATGTGATCTTCACGGCATACCGACTGGGAATATATGCCGAACTATTCACCAATGGATTGCTTGCCGGTAGCACCAGATTGGGTGATGCATTGGGGTCATTTTCATCCATGGGCGTTTAAACAGCGGTGAGATAAAGTCAAACAACCAGGAAGGATTGCATCAAACAAAGCTCTCTCACCAAAGTCTCCTTCCAAAACCGCGGGAATCTTCCACTAGGACTTCAAATCGTGATAGTGCAACATGGTACAGCAAGCGACAGTCATCCTCTCCTCCATTGCAATCGTATCCAGGGCAGGTGGCGCCACTATAGAAAGCCTCCCATAGATGGCGCTGCTCACAGGAATGTGAAAGACGGCAGCCGCCATTTGGGGTCGTAAACGCATGGGGGGGGGGGGGGGGCAAAGGGGGAACGGGCTGATGGAGTTTAACGGAGGCGTAAAAAGGGAGGAGGGGGGGAAGTGATGAACTCTGTTAACGCTATGCTCAGGGAGAAGCGAAGACTGAAAATGACGAGAAATGCGTAACATGAATTTGGGTCGACCCCTGGGTCCGCGGCAAATTTCGCCTTTGTGAGGTTTGCCGCAGGTGGCGCTGTCGCAGAAAGCTGTCATATTATGCTGACGTTGGGCCTGTGGAAGATGGACTGTGATGCACTCTAGATAAATGGAACTTCCACTGGGCTTGTGATAAGCTTGATACCAGTCTTTTTGATACCAACCTTTGAGATGGTCACGTGATCATGACGTCAGGGACAGCCACCTCGGTCGCGCAGCTGGTTAATGCGCGTGCCAACGTAGATGGAAGGTCCACGAGCCAAGCCTGACTTCGGTACGCTCTTCCTCAATCGGCTGTTACAAAGCAGATGGCAGCACCTGGGAGTGATCGCCCTGTCGCCGCGTTACGCAGCGTCAGCCAGCGCTCACGATCGTGGGATCATGGGCGCGGCCTGCCTTTAAGCAGACCCGCTGGCATGGCAGCGCTTTCAGACGGCATGATGCCGCTTCATGTCACCGGAGCAGTCTGCTGACCCTCGGTTCCGATGCATCGGGATGGCCTGCGTGTGTACATGCGCCTCCGGGGAGGCACGATAGGCAGCGTGTGATGAAGCCCGTCTCAAAAGGTGCAGACAAATGAAATGTCTGCCTTGTACATAGTATGCGTGAATAACTATGATTGAATGCATACCAAGCATGACGAGAAGACACGGTTGGGCCCCAAAAACATGCAAAGCATGCCGCCTTTTTCATGGATAAGCGGCTCTGTTCAAAAGCTTGAAACGGTCATACTATCTTCACTGGCCATGAGGAGGTAAGTTTATCGTAAAAAAGCCACGCGGCGCCGCTCGTGATGGCAACACTGTCGATCTCCTCACTCGCAGCCACGAGATGTGGCTGTATGATCAGCATGACCATGCGCCTGCCGGTCACGTAACCGAACTCAGAGAGAAGCCTAATGTGAGATGTTGTGGGCTGAATAATGCCGATATGGTGGCCGACTCCAAGATTGGAGCGTTAAGTGCAAGTACCTTCTTTACGCGCCTTACGTTGCTGAAGAAGCCACGAACTTTGATTGCGTCCCATGTATTCATCGCTTATGTACAAAAATACGATATCTAAATGGCCACATCCAGGACAAAGGCCGGCCCCGGCTAATTCTGCGTCAATAAAACCTCGAGAATAAATAATATGCACACATGAACGCCGTGGCGTCACACGACCAGCGGCTACCGACACAGCACGTGCGGCCGGCACCCCTCCCCGGTCTGTCACTCGCAAGGTGTACTGTTCGTGGCCGGCCGGCAGCGCAGACGCGCACGAGCCCCCATCACGCATCACGCCTGGTCAATGCACACACGCGCGACGGAAGACAACATGACACGGAAGGCAAGTGACATTGGAAGACCGTTCACAACCTGGGCCTCGCGCATCGGGCCGGCGCCGAGCCGCGCTGGGGGAAGCCCGCAGGGTCGGGGCGAGGTTCCTCCGGATAACAGACACTGACGCCGTTGTGCGCCTAGGCCGCATTCGAATTGCGCTGAGCAGACGTGGGAACGCATCGAGTGTTACACTTTTTGCGTGTAAGGATCGGTACATTTGCCCGGCGTTTACGTCGTTCAGTGGGCCATTTCCTACCGAGTGCCAGCTTGACAGCGCATGTTTTTAATTAGATGCACTTCGTCCTTTCACGATGGCTGAAACGCGAAACACATTTTAAGACAACGTTCCTCGTGGGATTTTTGTCCAATAAAAGAGGTCTTTTACCATGGCCACATCCAAGAAATGGTATTTTTTAGATTATTCGTAATGCTGGTTTTTAGAGAAATGTTTTAACGGACGATGGTTGAATACCATCGGTGACATCGTTTCATGGCGGATCTTTCAAGCTGCATCTATATATTTAAGATGTTTTGCACCTTGACCGTCGTGAAAGGAGCACAATGGCATCCGGGATTGGGTCCAAAAACAGACAGCAATGGGCGCAAAATAACGGGCATAGTACATGCTTCCGGCCATGACGTATAGAAAACTGCAGGCGGTTAACCTCCAATGAAACTACTCGCGCCTACGGAACATTATTCGGTACTTGCACCGCTTGTCACTGTTCGAAAATATATCTGCAAGGTGAGCGGCATTCGCGAAAAACTCCGACGCGTTCTCAGCACGCGGTCTAGGGTCGTTCCGCTTCCACGTTCGCAGTTCTCACGTTCTCAGTAGAGCACCTCTATGATCTAACGCGAAAGACTCACGGTTCCCATCCATAAAGCGGACACCAACTACTGTCGCTCGAGCACTTAAAACGCCAAACACCGGACAGCAGAGCTCAATCATCGCCAAACAAGAGCGGTTCAGTGGCACGACATGCATGTGAGCTGGAATCTTGGATCATGAACTGACATCAGCCGGTGCCATTTTACACGGAAACCCGGGTAGCAAGGTTTCGAGAATAGGAAAGTCTTGAGCAGCATCAGCTGGAATCTACTTAGTGAGATTTACGAGGCGTTTCCGGGGGATGGCTCTTCAAATCAATGTCGTTGCTGGCCGTCGCATGCCTCTGTGGTGCATCTTTTGCAATGCAATCTTAATTTCGTTCTCATTATTTGCTTAAGCACATGTTTAAAAACGGCGGGAAGAATCATGTTCAAACTGCAAGGCTGAGCTCACAAACGCATGTTAAGGGCAACACGGTAGAAACATAGTAAATGCTCTTCAAAAGCTTGTAAGGGCGCCAAAACAGCATGCAGACGACGTCACATTTTGCCTACGCGATATTGCATAGCAAGCATCACCATGGGAGGGGGGCGAATCAGGCTTTCGGGCCGCTCAGAGACCTCCCGCGCAGCTCGGGGAACCGGGAAAGATCCACCTCGCTCCTGACACCGGGGGGAAGGGGGGGGGGGGTGTCAGGCGCTTTGTACACCGGCTCGTGACAAGCCCTCGTTGGCTTCAGCCACCCTTCGGCTTAAAGCCACACTACCATTGCACGCGCTAGCATTGCACTCTCTCTCCGAGCGCAGATACGATCCAACGAAGCCTGGTGGGAGCCAGAAGGAAGACTGAAGGCCGTGTCATGGAAAGCGGCAGAAACCGTATCTTCTTCAAGCTTAGAACCAACGCGTTCATGCGTAAACTGTCTCATAGTTTTGGCTCACTCGGGAACCCACCACCAACAACGCTTCAAATACGCTGAATTGTATGCACCATCTTCCGGCAAAATCTACTACACACCACATCCTCATAGATCCTGCAGAGCAGCATGTAACGGGCACGACACGGCATCACATCAAAAACCTCACAGACACATAACACGACCAACGCCCGCGGCCACACCAGATCACACGATCTAATGATCACGCCACACCTGTCTGACCTCACCCCGCCAGTGACGTCACATCACATGACCTCGCATCTGCAGCGGGCGCCACGCCGCACAGCGCCGCTCGGCACAGCGCCTATCACATCTGCGGCCTTCGGCTTCGTCTCCCACTAGACCGCGGAGTCCAGGTCCCGGTGTCAGACCGCGGAGTACAGATCCTCGTGTGGGACCGCGGGTCCAGACCCTAGTACCGGACCGCGGAGACCAGATTCCGGTGTCAGACTGCCCAGGGAGTCAGGACTCCGGTGTGGGTCCTTCGAGTCCAGACTTTGATGCGAGCCCGAGTCCAAACCTTGGCGCCAGATTTCGGAGTCCAGACTCTGGTGGCAGACCTCGGAGTCCAGCCTCCGGCACCGCGAGTCCTTCGCGTCCAGACCCTGTTACCAGACCTGAGGCCGGACCGTGGGCAGACCCTCCCAGGCCGGATTCCGATTACGCCGACCCGGTGCGCGGCCGGAGGCCGGAGGCCCACTGCGTCAGCGCCGTGCCGCCATTGTGCCCTAGAAAAGCGCTCGTGGCGCCGCCTATAACGCCTCGTCCCTCCGCCGGCTGGTCTGGCCGGGCGGGGCCCAGCCGAAAGGTGCGCATGACTTCCTCCACCTGCTGCTCAGAGGTGGGCGCGAACTGGTCCAGGAACCTGCCGAAACGGAACGGCTAGGGTCAGAAGGGGTCAGGGGCGGCTGGGTCAGAAGGGGTCACGGGGCAGCCGGGGTCAGGAGAAGTCACGGGCCAGCTGGGGTCAGATGGGGTCACGGGGCAGCTGGGGGGTCAGGAGTCACGGGCCAGCTAGGGTCAGAAGGGGTCACGGGGCAGCTGGGGTCGGGAGGGAACTGCTCCAGGAACCCGCCGAAACGGGGCAACTGGAGCCTCAAGGGGTCATGGGGCATCTGGGGTCAGAAGGGGTCACGGGACAGCTGTAGTCGCAAGGAGTCACGGGGCAGCTGGGGTCAGGAGGGAAATGCTCCAGGAACCTTTGGCACAGGGTTACACAACAGGGGTTAGACCGGAGCTGGCCGAGAGACCTGCCAACACGAAGCAACAAAGCCGGGGACCCAGTGATACCCAACGCAGCTGGTCGCATGTCACCAGGGGCCGTCTGCACACAGGAACAAGCGCCTCTCAGACGGGATGGTGACACGCTCGGAAACTGGACATAATCTGAGTTTGGACAGCACTGTAGTATACCGTGATACCTTACACTGAATTTTGCTTTATCCCGTCACGCTTTGCTGCGCTTTAATACATCGTGCCTCCCAGTGCTACCACGAACACCACCTGCATTCAGTCAAAAGCGAATGTGTGACTCATAAGGCGCATCGGCACAACCGTTCAGTGGAGAGGCACACAGACAGTCGCGCGGCCGCAAAGTCCGCCTGTTCGGCACTCACGAGAAAGGCTTGTGACCGCCCTTGATCTCGCAGATGACGTTCGTCAGCGCCATGATGTAATTACGCGCCAGCGTCAGCGTCTCGATTTTGGACATCTTCCGCTCCATGCTGACGGGTGGTATGACCTCCTGCAGATTCTGTGGATAGAGCAGCGGTTCAGAACAGGAGATTCGGTGGATAGAAGAAAATTTAAGAACAGAAGATTCGGTGGACAGAACACAATTCCAGAACAGAAGATTCTGCAGAAAGACCATAATTTCAGAACGGAAGATTCTGTGGACAGATCAGAAGTTCAAAACGGAAGACCCTAGGACAGAAGACAGCACTGCGCCGCCGCCTTGGGTGTGGTTACGGGGTATGGGGTAGTGGTTGATGGTGCATCTCCGTTCTAACTTACGTGCTCCGATCATTGGCAAGACAACGAAAACGACACAGCGGTACGTAATACGATGCACGTGACAAAGATGACGAAGAGTGGTAAACACCCTCTTGTCCAAAGGATCGTAAACATATGCACAGGATTCAGTATCCGCCTTTAGTAATGGCCAATGGTAAATAAGGAACACATACGTTCCGAAAAAGATCGACGCAGTAGTAAAGATGGCCCCCGTAAAGTGTTGGATTGCTAGCTACATAATGGTGATATTTCATTCAAATTAAACTTATGAGCAGGTTTTTCACTTTTTTAAATCGGCTGGTGGGACTGAGACGAAAAGTTTGGCCTCACCTCTCCCCAAATCTGATTTCTCTCCGGATTTCGCCCACTTGAATTTGATTCCTCGATGTTAAGGCTAGACAAAAATTAATATTTTGTACATTCAAAACTGTTGGAAGCTGGGGAGGAAAGACTTCCCAGTTTAAGTTTATGAGAGCTAACTTTAGTGAAAAACCCAAAATGGAGTGTAATTTACAGAAAAAACATCTTTGTCAACCTTTTTAAGGCATCACTGTCGCTGATCGCACTGTATAAGCACAGCCATAATTATGCGAAAACTGCACCTGCCGAAGCAGCTGGGTGAAGACGTGCGTTATCTCTTGTCACGGTCATCCCATATTTTTCAAAAGTTGTCACGTGTTGCAGTTAAGTGTTCTGTTTCTCAACCCTGGCGACATCGTTCGAAAAAAAAACTGGTCAGGCATTTGTACACTGCCTAAACATATGAAGGAATTAGCATAGCGAAAATACTACGTACCTACAGGGTACCACTTGGCACCAAATATGCATGATATTAACAGTGATGTGTTTAGGTACATACTACGTAGTACACCTATAGTTCAGCTAACTGTTCTTTATCAATTCGACCCAGTACTCCCTCTTTGCTGATATGCACGAGGGGGCTGAAAAGGTGCGTTGAGGAGACTCAAGTCAGCTCCCGTGTGCAGGCTAGTGCATAGCACGGCAGTGTGGCAAGGCCGTTCAAATATGCAACAATACTTAAATCACCATACGATGTGTCTTCCGCCTATCCTACCCTCTATCTCCATCTTCACACATCCAAGCCCACGTTTTTTATTCGAACACCTGCCTGTCAAAACACACGAGCCAGTGCTTTAATAGCTTTCACAACATTCAGTGGGACCCGTTTTCCTTCGCCAGTAACTGACGTATGTGCTAACGCTGATCGATCCGCAGGCGCAAATGAAACAGTTGGACGGCCAACACCATCTTTTATTATGCGGATGTCGCGGAAACCGGTCAGGCTCCTATTCCAAAGCTTCAGCACATTGACGGGATTGCGACACGAGTGGTTACGACCGGGTTACTTTCGCACGGACCGACCACGCTCCCCTGCGCGCGGAGCACCGAAGCGTCACGCGGTCTGGCAGCCCTTCCACGTCATGGGACCGTGCAGACCAGCACAATACGAACGCGCTTAAAGCCAGGCTCGGCAAAATGTCTGCAAGTATAGAGCGGAGGGCCGTTCTTTGCTGCGGTTAAGATCGATTCGAAGTGTAGATGCCCTTGGTTCGATTCCAGTGGAGGGAAAACTGCACCCGGTGCCCTCTTCACTGGAATGCAGCAACAGGACCAGGCTGCACATCGCGTGCATAAAAAATACCCGGCCAGCAACATGGATTTAGGATGGAGCAAAGCCAGTGCAAACCATTGACCTTTGTCCGATTTTAAGTCCGGGCCACTTATCCGCCTTAGCAGGCCATGGCAGGGATTAAAACGACCTAAGCACTGAACTTGATTTTTTCATGGTGAGCCGCACGACGTGACAAAGCGCACGCTGGTTCCGCCGTCACAAATACCTGGTCCTCCAGGCTACTGAAAGTGCCCGCGCCAGCTACAATACATAAGCGTCGCCGCATCGCAAGAGAGGCAAACAGCTACTCACGTGGAAAGCAGCGTTGAGGCCGTGCATACGTATGCGTTCCCGTTCGTTGCTCTCGAGTCGGCGCAGGTAGCGTTCGCGGTTAGCGGCGCCCTGGCGACGCCGGCGGCCGGGGCCGGCGGCAGCACCCGATCCGCCTGCCCTCTGTTGCTTGTTGGGCGAACTAGCGTCGCTGCTCGTGCCGCCGTCGGAGTCGCCCGTGTTCGAGGAGCCGTCTGAGCCTGCACCGATGGGCGCATAGCCGCCGTCAGTTGGGAGCCGATGGGCACGGCAGCAGGGAGTTGCTACGGATAAAATGTGCTACACAGAATCTTTAAAAGTGCACGTTACGAACAATGGCTTCCAGACAGCGGCTTACGGACCTCTACACGGCGAACCGCCGCCACAAGAACATCTGATTTACGACCAGTTCCCACATTACACTGCGTTACGAAGGTGAATGATGATGACAACGCTTACAGGAGCTGCGTGTGTCTGAAGCTGAAAACAAACAGAGATTGGAGATGCAAGACCTCAGCAGTAACTGACGACTGAATTACCTCAAGCTCCGAGCATTTTTGAAGCATTGTGTCAACCGCTAAAGTCCTGCAACTTTTATCGATTTTAGAACAGGGAAGAGCTTGCTACACAAATAGTGTTTCCGAGCCAACCGGTGAAGGACATCGATTGTATTGTAATCGGCGGTCGGCAATCTTGCGCGGTCGGCGCCAGGGCCCACTGCGCTGGCGCGCGTCCTCGTGGTAAGTGCCATAGCAAACCGAGCCCCCGTAGGGGCCGATGTTCAAGTCAAAATCGGCAGAAAGAATAAAGCAGAAGGCGTTAGACTGACAACAAGAAAGATAAAGGCTCAAGTGAGAAGGAGATATAGTTAGTTATTTGTTTTGCATGTGATGATAATGCAATGCGCTGGCGCAATCCACGGAACTTACGGAACTTAGTACAGCTTCCACGGAACTTAGTACAGCTTGAGCAACGTTTTCAATCACGTACCTAGCCGCCGTTTGATAGCCATCCGTTCGCTCTGGTCGTAGAGCTCGAATGACGTCATCATGTCGTCATCGTCGTCGTCGTCCTGCCAGGCGGTCCTCAGGTTGTTGGGCTCGACGCCGTCTGTCGTCAGGCGACGGATCTGCGGAGGAAGGCGGGCTGGTGAAGCGCTGCAGGACACCTCAGTCCGACTGACAGGCCGGCGCCAGACAAGATCTCCTTGGGAAGAATTGCACAATTGTTGACCGCGGAGCTTTCTCTACTTCTCCCAGCACAGTATAGCACTCAACCAATACCACGGTATCATCCACACGAGAGCGGCAGCGAATACTCCGTCTCCCAACGTCAGTGGATATTGAAATTGGGTCATTGCCGTGCATGAGAAGTTACAACTCAAAATCGCCCTTGACCCTGTCGCAACAACGGAACTTTCCACTCCCATAACCGTCAGCAGCATAATCGGAGCACCCTTGGCGTCAATGCGACATGGCAGACTCGTTCGTAAAAATGATGAGGTGAACACCCAACCCTGCAGACCCCACCGGAACACCGCCACCCTCGGCCCCCGACACGCCACCAACCGGCCTCGACGCCCGGGAAGGGAAAGCAAGATAGCTTGACACCTCACTCTAATCGGTAGCCTTCCACGGCCGCCACACCCGCAGGCTGCATTCTTCGTGCCAATGTCAAACGCTTGGTGCATATCTAGATGCCTGGGTCTCGTATGTCATGTGTCAAGAAAAATGGCGCTGACGAGGCTAGTTCATCTTTTGCTGACAAGTGGCGGGGTTCATTGTCGTGTCCTTCGTTACACTACCAGGTACAATAAACCACATGAGCACACGAGCTCGTGCCACTTTCAAGATGGGTCTCTTCGATGGGGAGATTTAGACTGATCGAGCTGTTTTTTTTTTACAACGAAACGGAGGACGATGATGTCGCCAGCTGGATGTCAGACATTGGGGGTGGACGAGCAAGAGACATTGCGAGTCAGGAAAATGGGGACAAACGGCAAATGGAAAAAGATGCAATATCCACTGCTTTATAAACAGTATTAAGTAAATACCCAGGCAGGTCAAGCATGGTAATGCAGTTTTCAAAATGGGCTGTGCCAAAAGATGACGAATACCATCAGATTTTTACTGGCGCTCAACAGCTGTGTTGAACGAGGTAAAGTAATACACAATTTCGTTCAGATGGCCTGCGAATGTTGCAATTATGATTGTTGACGCCTGGATAATGGTGAAGTGTAATTTTCATTAATGGGCCATGTTCCCCACACCTTCCTCTGTCCCCTCAATGCGCGGCCGAGATCACGGCACTAAGAGCACCAGAAAATCAAGAGAGGTTTGTGGGAAATCTGATATGCAGGACTACAAGCATGCGTCTCGCACGCATAAATAATGAAAAACAATGTCGCTTCATTATTTGTGAGAGATGGCATCCATCTAAGATGAACGTTTTAATCAGACCTGGAATTCAAATCAACTAGGGAAAATCAGACGGCAAAATAATGCATCTGCTTTTAAGACAATATTGGACTCCACCTTGATGTATACGTTCACTGGCGTATCCAAGGGTATCAAAGGAGCTATAGCCCTCGCTCTCAACGACGGCGAAAACGCAAGCTTTCTCTGTGTACGCTTGGTTTTCCGTGAGGCAAAAAAGCTGTCCACAAGCCGTTTCGTAGTCAATAGCCTATCCTCGTAAATGGAACTTCCCAAGATCGCCCCACGGTGTGATGTTGAATCTCCCTGGGATGGGTACAACCGCAGCCTGGCAGCAGCCGCCCGCTTCCGTCCCGTTCGAAGGCGGCCGGACTCTCCTCCGCTGAGCGACACCAACCGAGGCTCGCCTTCCGGGCCAGCCGTCCCAGCTGACTGGTGTCGGCCTCCGGGGCCGTCACGCCGTGTGCCGCCGCACACTGGGTCAGCGGGACGACCCAGATCGGGGCCGGCCGCCCATTGGTCGGCGGCCGGCCAATCAGCGCCCGGTCTGGAGCGTTAACCAGGCGGATCGGTTGACGCCGACCGGCCGCCCACTGCACAATGGGCATAGTGTCACGGCGCGCTCAAGGCCATGACACGGAAAGGCGACCAGGGACGCCGAGAGGCTGCTTCGTAAAATATACGAGGGCAGCTCCAAAGCGTTCGAAGATCGGGCCAGTCGATCGATATGGAATACGACGCGGTGCAAGTGCAACCAGACGAGACCGAAGCAGATCCCGCCTTGCGATGCTGAACACACGCCCAGACACTGCCACTCCGATAGAATCGTCGGCTCGTGTGGAGCCAGCTTCGCGAAAAACACACGATCAGATTGCCCGGGCATGTAATGGCAGCAGTCGAACGTCCTTGCTTACTCCCTTCACTAGCATGCACTACAGCAACCACGCCGCAGTTTATCACGCCATGATAGCAGACGGTGCGGTGCAAACAAGCAGCCGACGGACAGAAACGGACGCCTGCACTCCCGAAGAGCTGAGTCTTTCGACAGAGCGAAGTGCCCTGAAGTGCAGGATCCGCCGGCAGAAAGGTGGCGGACAGCGTCCGTGGCAGATTCTGCGCTTCGAGAGTCGCGCAGGTCGCCGGCTTTCCGCGGGATTCGCAGTCGAGCCCCGTGAGCCCCCGGGGTCTATCACGCCCCCCCCCCCCCCCGGGGGGTCTATCGGGAGCAGAGCGGCCGGGACCCCTGCCGCGCCGGACGGACTCGGACGGGCCGACCACCGCTGGGGACCCCGTGCCGCCCCGCCGGTGCGGATCGTCGCGCCGCAGCCCCAAGCAGCGTCCGGTGCCCGCCGACGCCTTCGGCAGGTCCGTCCCCAGTCACGTCCGTGAGCGTCACGTCCGTGAGCGTCACGTCGGTGCCACATCGGACGTCACGTCACGTCCGCGTCACGGCTCGGAGCGCCTTCCAGCGGTCCTCTGCAGGCCGTCTGGCGTGCCGCACCGCCGATGTTGAGGACGACGAGGACGCCCGAGAGGCGGCTGCGGACGGGGCGGAGCGGAGCTAGACACGCGATGTCGCTGACGCCGCGCGATTGGTCGCTCCTGTGGTTGGAACCCGGGCGAAACCTGGCCGCGATGACCGATCGCGGCTGACGGCGAGGCCGGTTGCCTTTCACATCTTAAAGTTCTCCGGTGGGCGCTTGCGACGGCGGCAAATCGGCTTTGTCGAGCGCCGACGCCGAAAATAACGATTATCCATTGCAAACGCCAACCGGGGCCCGATTGCAAAACCGATTGCAAAACCGATTGCATCCGACGAGCGGCCGCGATTTAATGTTTACCATCCTGCCGTGCCCGCTCAGTCAACCGTTTTGTCTGCCGGCATACGGTCGCTATCTGGACGACAGGTGGTTGTCAGGCGGCGCTGAGATCTCACCAACTGCCGACGATACCGCACGAAACGGTTCCCATGGCGCCCGAAGCGCATTGCTGCTGTTCCCACATCGTTGGAGTGCTCCGGGCGGCGCGTGAACGCCGAAAACCGGGGGCATTGACGGCTCTCAAGAGGGCTGCAGGCCGCCGTGCCACCACCGTGTGGAGCCTCCCGGCGCTGTCTGGGAAGGTCCGTACGTGTCCCACACAGCCCAGGCCTGGCGCCGGGGGTGAGCGCCCCATGCGCAGCGTTCGGCGACGCAGGCAGCCTGTGCCACCGAGTCAGTGCGACAGAGGCTGAGGAACTGGCCGGACGGCGGCACTCCGCACATCACACCCGACCGGAGAAACTCGGTCACCCGGAACGCGGCCACCCCTACCGGCGCTGGCACATCCGACTGCATTACCCCTGGGCGCTGTCACTGCAACTCTGCGGAAAAAGACGCTGTGACACCCGACTACACTACCCTTGGGCACTGTCACTGCGAAGATGCGGGAGATGAATGCCACCCCCGAGATGAACCCCCGTGCAAAAGCGCTGATAACCGGCGCCGAACACCCGACGTCGCGCTGACGCTGGAGAAAGCGGCGAAGCGATGGATGCGATTAGTGAACACAATACCCCATGGTATCGCAGCAGTTAACGGGTATTGTGTCACGGCCGAAAGTGTCGATGGCAGCAGCTCGAGCATAAAATTAAAGTGGAGAACGTGAACGCGGGCGAAAGGGAACAAACACGAATATCTTATGTAACCACGGGCATACTAACAGCGCGGTTGGAGGAGGCTCTGTGCTTTCCGACATGTGTTGCGGTATCCTAAATGACGTTGCTACGAATAGCTCCTTGCCGCAGATAATTCCTCGATGCAGAACGCCAGCCGAACATCCAAGTGATCTTTTCACTGCAGCAACGAATTACGGGAGGAAAGCCCAAGTCAGGATATCTCCGTCGTCACGCCAGCAGACTCCTATCACGGAAGCACTCGGACGAATAATGGATTCGGGCATGCATCATCTCATCGCGGCTTTTCCGCCCGCGATTTCACCTCTGAGGCAATGGCAAGGAGCCCGGAACTGACATCTACAGGAGGAGGTGGGGTCGTGCCGAAGGCCAGCCCAGAAGCGTAACAAACAGATAGGCGCACTAATTGTGTTCAAATAAATATAAAATAAATAAATTGCCGAATGCATTTCACTTCGTGCTCAGGGCATGTTCGGGAGAGAAACAAGCCTCCGTGCTACCTGGCATGTACCACCCTATGACCTGGGGCACCCAGCATTGCGTGTAATTGGCTTCAGAAGAACATCACGCGTCGGTGCAAGGCCAATTTCTCCCTCCTTCGCCGAATGCTGAGCATGAGCATGGCGAGAACCTCGACCCAAAGACAAAACAATGGAGTTCAGTTCACAGAGACACCATTCATTCGTGCCCACCGACCACCCAGCAGGGCACGGTGGTCGGAGGTGGGAAATGGGGTACGTGGGTCCCGTAAAAGAGACCGGTATGCCGGGAGGAACGGCCCATCCTCATGCAGCCCCCACGTGGTTGTTGGAAATAGAGTCGGTATGCTGCAAGGAGGGCCCATCCTCATGCGGTCCCCACGTGGTTGTTGGAAACAGAATAAGACCAGCGGTGAGAAGGGATATGGGATACCGCCCGTGCGCCGTCGTGAAAACACGGGCCGGTGGTAGCCCAGCCCCGCTCCCGAGCTGGCCAGAACGCGACGACACCCCCTCCGTCCCGCCACCTCGCACCGGCGGC